TGGGATGGAACGTAATTCTTTTGAAAATGTCCCATCCCATGGGATGGGACGGAAATTTTTTGAGGATCGTCCCATTCCATCCCATTCCTTCCCGTTCCATCCCATGGAACAAACTGATTTGACATAAAGCTATTCTTTTACTAAAAAAAGATACAACCATTTTCATATAGATCTCGTACTTGTCTTTTCAAACAAAATAACTAAGAAATAAAACCTTTGTTAGTGATTAAGCACTGCAATCATTACGATGCGATACAACAAAGAATGATAATGAACGAAGAGATCAAGAAACGAATACAGTTCGATTTATTGTAATAGAAACAAATGATTTCATTTTGTTTTTGCTTGTCGCTCTTAAAATGTCTCGGGATAATTCGTTCTTCATTGTTCAAGATTAATTTTATCCATATGGTTGAATAAGTTTGACCACAGCTTGATCTTCTTCTATCATAACGTTGTTCTTGTCTTCTACTTCTCATTCTGCATTAGATGTTTATGAATTTACAACTGAACGAATCAGCCGCTTATTGAGAAAAGATTCATCGAATAATACGATTATAAAGAATGCAAAGAGTAATTTATCTTCTTCTTGTTGGCAGTTTTTCGGTCTTTCCGCCAAGAAATAAAAAATTAAAAAAAGAGCTTGAACAAATTTCAAACTTTCTTACTTAGCTCATACTAAAAGTAGTGTCATGGATAGTGTAATTCTGTATAGAAATGTTGAAGAAAGTTTCTTTCTGTATACAGTGATAGTAAAAAGGATGATCTATTTTTCTGTGATATTTCATCATACTTCAACTAATATCATAATAATAAAATTTCGATAGAGAACTACTTGTTATGATACGTTACGATAACAGTAACGAAAGAAAAAGCGTGTGAATTTTTTTTGAATAACTTTTAATATAAACATGATAGAGAACTGCAGTTTTCATCATTGGAAAGAGGAGATATAGACGCATTGAATTGTATATTTTAGTCTTTTCTACTATGATTTCTGACGTTTTTTCAACCAGTTTTCTAAATGTCGGAAATAGTTTTTTTAGTATAAAAAAAAGGAAAAGCATTAAAATCTAAACCGATAATATTTTCGCAGTTTTGTATATCTTCGATTGGTAGTTTGAACGCAAACTAGATAATTGAAAATTTACTGTGAATAATCTACGGGAGTACGTTTGTTTTCAAAAAAGTCAATTGGAAAGCTTAAAAAACCCGTTAGTAAACTCTATATTATAAGATTTTATGCATCTTCATCTCCTCTTTGCAACGATGGAAACCACAATTCTCTACCGTGTTTCTATTAAAATTTATTCAAAAAATCTTCGCACCCTTTTTTTTTGTTACTGTTATCGTTATATATCATAAAAAAAAATAGTTCTTTACCGAAATTTTATTATAATGATATTAGTTGAAATATGATGAAATATCACAGAAAAATAGAGTATTGTTTTTGCTATCGCTGCATACAGAAAGAAACTTTCCTCAACCTTTCTATACAGAATAAAGCTACCTCCACCACTACTTTTGGTATGATCTAAGTAGTTGTCAATAATGTTTTTAAGAGTGTTAGATAGATGTGTGCACGAATCGATCGATAAGCGTTTGGATAAATTTTATCTCTTTTAAAAGGTATTTGACGATTGAAATGTCCCATGGGATGGGAGTTGAAAACTTTGCATCCCATTCCATCCCACGTGGGGTATGGTATACATAACAAGATCATTTATCATTTATAGTTTATTTTAATTAAACAAAGGTTTATTTATGTGAATATTCGATTAAAAATGATCGAAAGAAAAATCTGTTATTCATATAGAATAATTATAACTATTAGAAGATAAACATTTCACGAGTTTTTGTTTTTATATATTGCTGTCATGTGAACGATCATTTGAAAAAAAGGAGAAGTAACGAGTATTGTGGAAAAAAGATTTTGGAGGATTGTCTTTGGAAAAGGAGGATATTATTTTTGTTGCAAAAAGGCAATTGAAGATATCGA